TGAATTTTGAAAGTTCCACTAGCTGTGATTCCTTCCACAGCTTGGATGGATAAAGTGCTCGTATCTTCTTCTTCTATGTTTGCTTCTTATGCAGGACCTAACACTTCCACTTCATCGGGTTCACAACTTCCTCTACGGTCTTTACAGTTTTGGCTTTATATTCCTGACCGGAGAAATAGCGCTCTCCACATCTGTAGCTAATATTTGAAGTTTTTCTTCCTTCTTCTTTCTTTCTCTTCTTCCTCGAAAAGGAGTTGGCAGATCCTCCTTTCTCTTGGGAATTCGTCTGACTGCTTCCTTTTAGCACACTTTGCTTGCTAGTAGTGCTAGCTTCAAGCCATTTCTATAATTGATTGCTTCCGGAAATGAGCTTGCTTGAAAGCCTGATTCAGCATAGGCTTAAGCAACCTTATCATTGGTTGCAGCTTTGTCCTCAATCCACTTATGAAGCTGGTTATGAAATATCTTTCTAACAAGGTAGAGCTGTTAGTTACCCATAATAGCTCTCAGGTGCTTGAATGATGCTCCAACATAATGCCAATTTGAATCAACTTGTTTATTGAGTGGAGCCCATGCTAATTCTTAACAAAAATTCCCTTTGTTAGCACCTGCCCTTGACTGCATACTTGTTGCTTGCTCCTACTATAAACCACCTATGATTTATCTCAAACTACTGACGCTATCATATAGTTTTTGGTTAGACATAGTTTCTGCTTCATAACTTGACCCTGTCTAAGCAGAGGACTCCATATTGACTAAATATCACGATCTTCAATTGTTCATATATCTGTCAGGCTTATCACCATATAGTTTTAGTGAGAATCTAACAAGCTCCTCGCTTTCGTTTTTGTTTCTGCCACTAGTTTCCAACTTCCCCTAAATCCGTAATGTATGTATTACCGTATCATACCAGAGTGTTCACCTCAACAGTATATTTTCTTTCATGTTCCTTTCTTTCCCCTTCAACCGTAAGTAAAAGCTCATGTCTGCATAATGAAGCCAAAAAATAAAGCTCATGTCTAACCTGATAAGAAGTTCTCTTTTATTTTAGTGAACAAGATGGAGAAGTGGAATTAGATGATGTCTGGTTTGCCTATCCATCTCGCCCTAACCATATGGTACTCAAGGTAAGTTTACCAAGTTATTCTTTTATTACTCGGTGCTTACAGATTGCCAAATTTCAGTCATTTTCCTAATGGGAGTTACACAATTAATTTCAGGGAATAACATTGAAACTTCAGCCAGGCTCAAAAGTTGCTCTTGTTGGCCCCAGTGTGGAGGAAAAGTAAAATTATCTTTTTACAACAGTTTATGCTTCTATTAGTTCTAACTCATAGAAGTAACTAGTGAATAAGAAATTGTGAATGAGAGGACATTCCAGAGTCCTTATGAGGCTCATCCCTTTTTCCTTCTGTTTTTCTTTTGTTGACTGCAGAGCACAATAGCAAATTTGATTGAAAGATTTTATGATCCAATCAAGGGGAAAATTTTATTAAATGGAGTTCCATTGGTCGAAGTATCACATGAGCATCTGCACAGAAAGGTACTCTTATATCCTTTCAAACTTAAAAATGCCTGCAAAATTCATGCTTCAGATTGCAACTTTACATTTACTCTTCAATTTGATTTTGTAACTTTGGATGTTAGTGGGGCTCACAAATTCCAAAGCACAGTAACTCTCACCTTTAATGTACAGATCAGTATAGTGAGCCAAGAGCCAGTTCTTTTCAATTGCTCCATAGAAGAGAATATAGCATATGGATGTGATGGTGAAGTCAGCAGCAGTGATATAGAAAATGCAGCAGTAAGATTCACAGTTTTGCTTATGCACTAGATATCATTTTAGAGTAAACATTGACCTCCTGTGCTTCTAATGCCGGAATGCAGAAAATGGCAAATGCATATGACTTTATATCAAAATTTCCAGAAAAATTTCAAACTTTTGTCGGAGAACGTGGGGTAAGGCTTTCTGGAGGACAGAAACAAAGAGTAGCAATTGCAAGAGCATTACTGATGAATCCAAAGATTCTTTTACTTGATGAAGCCACGAGTGCTCTGGATGCTGAAAGTGAATACCTAGTGCAGGTGAGAACAGATTTCTCTATTGATCTCATTGAAACACAACTTGATATTTCCAGCCCAGAAGATTTATTAGTTCTTCCTCTGCGTATCATGTAGGATGCAATGGACTCCCTTATGAAGGGAAGGACTGTGCTGGTTATTGCTCATAGGTTATCCACTGTGAAAAGTGCAGACACTGTTGCAGTTATTTCTGATGGCCAGATTGTTGAAAGCGGTACTCATGAAGAGCTCCTCAGCAGAGATGGTGTATACACTTCACTAGTGAGGAGACAAATAGAAGGATCGAAAACTGAGTTTTAGTTCTTCCAAAAAACAAAAGACTAAAGTTTAGTTTTAGACAGTTATCATGTGATAATAAGTAATATGTCTGATTTTGTTTTTTAAGAAATTGGCATTGATGATTTCTTTTACATGCAAGAAATCTTAGCTTTCATTTTTATTGCTTTGTTCCAGTTGGCACAACAACTCAAACTCTGATTGAATTAAAAAGTTAAAATTCCTCGAATTCCCAGATTCGAGGTCATAACCGTTAACCTCCAATTTTTATTATTTTCCAGTTAAACTAAGTAGAATGGACAGATAAATTTCACAAAATTTCTGGGTTTAGTATGGAAAAAACCTGATACACAATTCTTAGGTTACCAACTTAGCAGCTGACAAATCTGCAAAAGGAACTTCAGTAATGCTTCATTGTATAGACAAAACCTATATTACATAAACATAAATATGTTTCTCAGGAGCTTACATTGGGTACGACTAGTATGATCTAATGCCTGAAGCACCTTACAGTTGGATTAAAAAACTCTCAGGCTTAAACCTGGCTTAGAATATCTTGGTGGAGATGCAGATCAGCAAGGAACTAATTCAATTCCAGTGAAGAGCTGCAACATTCAATCACGACTTAGATAATACTGTCAGTGCCGACTGCTAGTTCAGGTGCCAAATGCCCACCCGGTATTCCTCCACAAGGAGAAAATCATGAACAACCATGAACTTCCACCATCATTTCACCTGCTTGTGATTCATCATCTGTTCAACAATGATAATGGTCATTCATCCAGTTCATTGCACATATGGTCTATCATTCTCTTCCGAAGAATGTAATATGGTCCATTTTGATATCCAAGTGAACCAACAAAATCTCCCGTCCAGTCTCCAGTCATTCTTCATTAAACCAGTGACTCAACAAAGCACCTGATATTCTTGACATCTTCTTTTGATTGTGGGTAGCTTGGTGGTTTAAAAAGCTTCCACAGCCCATCTGGATGCCGTTGTCTCTGGATTACAACATCTCCGGCAAACCTTCCAAAAAGTTTTTCACACTCAGGATACGGTTTCACATATAAATTGTAGAATCTAAGCCTGCTCAGCTTTATCAGATCCTTCAATCCTATATCACAACCAAGTCCACCTTTGGAGCTTAAAAATTCAATGACACTGTACCGAGGAATTATCTGCTTCTCCAAATTGACACCCAAATACTCTGGCACCTCAACCAAACAACCAATATCAAATCTCATCCTATTCAAGAGAAACTCAATCTTCTTCTCAATTTCTTCTATCTCATATATGATCAATCTCGGTTCTTTCCACAGAACCTTAAAGGCTTCTCTACGGATCAACCCATGTTTGCACAAGCAATCAACTCTTAGTTTCACTTCAAACCCAGCTCTAAATGCTCCTCCATTGAAAATCTTCTCTTTAATAGGTTCACGACATTTCAAGCTCCTCAACAGTTGAAAGCACCGTGAAAGTTCCCCTAATTCCATACCAAGAATTCTGGGCTCTCTAAGAATTTCTTCCCTAATCTCATCTCTGCTGAAACCCAAATTCTGAAACTCCTCAAGCAATGGCTTTAGCTTATCTTCAACGCTGAATCCTAAAATTCCCGGAAACCAATTGAAAACCCATTCAATTACGTCCTTGCTAATTCCAATTCCCACCAGAAATTCAGTTCTCCTGTTGATTTCAATCTCCTTCATCGTAATCACCTTAGGAAACTCTGTTAAAACCCTACTCACCGTACTGTCACTAAACCCTAAACCTTCTAAAACAACCACTCTCTCGAAAAACCTATCCGGGTCAATCTGGAATCTCCTACAATGTTCAAGTACACTGGTAATAACAGATGGTGAGAGACCAAATTCCTCAAATTTCGGAACACTCTCTTTCCATTTCCGCAAGAACTGGGAATCTAAAATCCCGGGACAGTTGTGTATGAGTGAAACGAACGATTTCTGCGGAATTTTAAAAGATAAAATAACAGCCAAAGACCTCTCGAGCTCGTTCAAATCTGAATTCAACAGAAAGTGGTATTTTGAGAGAAAGCTGGGGAGTTGAGAAGGAGGGAAACCGTACCTTTGCAGGAGATTAGCAAGAGAAATACTTTTCCTGTAGTCGGATTGATTCTGAGGAACCGGGAACAGAGAGTCGGGTGTTGTGGATAAAGATTGGATTTTGTGAGATGAGATTGAAAGGACTTGCTTAGGGATTGATGTGAAGCGATGGAGAGTGAATCTGGTAACAAATTTGAACGCCATGTCTTGGGTTTTCTTCATCTGCGATCCTCACAAGAAGATGATACTGCTCAAGCTTGGTGCTAAGAAAAATCTTACGCACAGGAAATCACTTCTTGAAGCATGCCTTAACCATATCATCATCATCATCTACACTCAGAATAACAATGAGCAGTAGATTTCTACTAAAGAAAATGTCAGTATAACTGGCTCGTCTGCCATTACTTTTTTCTTCTAACAAAAACAAAAAATATCTTTTAAATGAATACTTAAGAGTAAACATGTTGAGTTTTGTAGAAATTAAAATAAAATATTAATATTATTTTTCATATTAATTAGAAGCGAAATTAAAACAACAAATATTTTAATATTAGTTTTAAGTTAATAATACATTTTAATAAATTAAAACAAAATTCCCCTGTTTGGTCCCATTTTGATTTTCCATTTTCCCCTTCATCTTCAACCTAAACAATTTTTTCCTGTAAACACATCAAGAACCTGCTGCATTTTCCAAATTCCAAACACTCCTTAACAAATCTTCCCACCAACAAAAGATGCAGAGAATTTTCTCTTCCAGAGTTGCTTCATCAATTTTCACCAAAAGGTTCACAGCCAGCACCAGCTCTCACCATTACAAACCCTTCACTTCACTCGCCAAACCAACACAAAGCCAGTATCCAACCAACTTGCTATCCTCTACTTTCACACGCTCTTTTCATAATTTTCTATCGACGCGGGCGCAACACAGTTTTCCAGGGAAAAATCATCATTGCCTGTGGAATCCAGTGCTTGCGAAGCAGTTGATCTTGAATTTCTCGAGTACCCAGACGAGATTATCGAGTCAAAGTCTCGTGGGCAGCAGACTATGGTTCCTCGGAGCTCAGTTTCCTAAACGGAGATTCGAATTTGATTCAGGTTTTGGGTTTCAAAGACGTGGTGGCTGGTAATGTCTTTGCCTTCTGTTCTTCTTTTTTTTTTTCGGTCTGTTTGGTAATCATGAGGAAGTAAGCAAAACTTGGGATTTAACGAATTCAATCTTTTGCAGTCCCTTATTTTTCTTCTGGATTATCAGCTGGTTGGAATTTCGTTTTTGGAGAAAATTTATTATCTTGATATCTGTACTAACTAAGCTTCACTTCTTTTCCCTCTTCAGTTGTCAGAAAAACCTTTGCTAATTGTGTATTTAGTAGAGTTCATGGCCTTCAATTTTTCCCTAATGAAAGAGCTTATACCATTTACCAGGCTTATTCTTTTGAGATAACTTTTTTATTTATGATTTGACAAGTCAGAGATAACTCAAATACTAGCAGGGAAGCAGAGAAGGATATTACTGTGTCATATGAAATTTGATGACTGCACAATGATTTTTCTTGTTTGAGTGCATGGAAGTTCTTTCATTGTGATATTATCTACTTTTATTAAAAAACTAGCTATCTCAGAGTAATATATTTTGTAGTGTTTTTATTATCAAAATAAATCTTATCCTATTTGCAGGAGAAGATGGTTTCAGCGCCTATCTGCTGGTGACGTGGTTTTGGGCTTCATAATAACTAATGTTGCCATTTTTTTGCTGTGGCGGGTGGCGGATCAGAGATTTATGATGAATAACTTTACAGTGAGTTTGCAGATTTTAAAACATTGTTTTATGCTGCCAAATGTGTGTTTTGATCGCCGGAGCTGTCCTTTATCTTGCTAGAGTGTCCCGCTTCAGAGATGGCACAAGACTGAAACTGGATTAGATATTAGTTTTAGCTTATTAGGACAAGACAAAATTGTGTTTAGATTTACAAGTTAAGTTTCTTGCGTGAATAAGCTTTTGCTATATAAATGGCAATCTTATGTTGTTGTGAATCATTGAATGGTTCTCTAGGATGATGAGAAACCAGCTGGATGCAATGAAGAATGTTCCTTTTTGAATAACTTGACTTTAATCCTTATCTATTTAGTTAATCTTTCACCCGAAAGACAAATCTATTAAGTACTGTTGCTTCATCCTTTTTAGTGTTAATAATTTATTGATTTTCTTGGTGCAGGTTTCATTAGACAATTTTAGAAGTGGACGCTTGCACACATTGATAACTTCTGCATTCAGTCACATTGATGGAGAGCATATCATATCTAACATGATTGGGCTCTATTTCTTCGGAATGAATGTATTCTTCTATGCCTCAGGATATTTTGTTTAAGTGAAATGTGTTCTTGCTGTTAGGTACCGAGATCCTACAAGGTGCTTCTTTTAAGTTGGTTTTTTATGTTTGAAAACTCTTGTGATCCAGAAATATTTTCTGAAGCTTTTTATCAGTGTGGAAAAGTGGGAAATAGTCCTTCTTTATTATTTCTCTGCACCTATCTATGTAGACCTTTTTTCTTTCTCGGATTCTGCCTTCAATAATTTGTTTTTGTTTTCTCTTGTTATTCAAATTTCTTTTCTAGCATAAGTTGATATGTGCAGCTAGACTTGGTAACAGTTGGTTTGTTATTGGATATAACCATTCACACAAACTGTGAGGCCATGTATAGAAGGTTTGATTGCTGGTCTTGGACTCTCTATTAAAAATATGTTGAAAGTCATTTTTAGTTCTTAAGGAAACAGAGAAACCTAGTCAATGTTGAAAGACATATTTCAGTCATTGACTAGTTAGGCTTTCCGTAAGTAGACTTCTTCTTGTCTTGGATTGTGCTGAACTGGCATGGGGCGAAAAAAGCATGTACTTGTTTTGTTGCTGAAACTTTTCTAATGATTTTCTTTTTAATAGTTGGGGGAGATCCCTCCTGAGCCATAAATTATATATATATATATATATATACATATATATTTATCTTGTGGAAATTTGTTTGATTTGAAACTCAATGAGCAATTCCTTTTGAAGTTGATGTTATTTGATATAGTTATGCTTTCATATGAATCCTGAATCCATTACCAATCTCTGTGGCTTCTGAGCGGTAAATTTGTGCATTTATGTATGTATTTATGCTTTGGTTTTCCCATCATGTATTTCTTCAGCCAGCTCCCTGATTTGTTTCCTTTTTTTCTAATTTATCTTTTAATTTGTCCATGTTGGCAGATTGGAAGAGCTTTTGGTCCTGAATATTTGTTGAAGTTATATCTAGCTGGGGCTATCGGTGGCTCAGTTTTCTACTTGATTCATCATGCCCTTATGGCTTCTTCGTCCAAGGTAGAATGAAAATCCAGGAAAGAACTTTAATATCAACTAAGCGATTTAGGTAGTGACTTGTAGGTAAAGTCCAATATAAAGTTTGTGTATGATCTTTTCGGTGATTTCTAATTGTTTGTACTGTGTGGCATCCAAAGACTTGCTGACCCGTTGGTGAACCATATTTTGCTATCAACAGGGCCAAGGAATGTTTATGATGGACCCTTCAAGGATTCCAGGCTTGGTATGCCTTTGATTCTTTATGTACAACCTGCTCAAATCTTTCAATTTGATTAGGTTTTAGTGAATGTTGATAGTGCTTTTTTTTCTCTTCTTCTGTGAGTTAGGTTTGAGAACTGTTCTGTATTGTGTGGAATTTCAGCCTATGGTAGTTTTTTTTTTATACTTAAAAGTTCAATAGATATTTAAAATTCTTGAGACAAGTCAACTTTGGAACAAAATCTTTCTTGAAGATGTCTCAGCTTTTGTCACCAAATGTCATGCGTGAATTCTCTACCCTTTCATTATTTCTCTGAAGTGCAATAACTAAAGTTTACCTGAAAAAAGTGCAATAAGGAACGTATTGATGTTTCTTTTCGTATTTCCCGATCCACTAGAATCTTTTATTAATATACTGAATTTTTGTAGTCAATTTAAAAGTTCCTTCTTTATGGAAAGATAACTTACTTTAATTTGCTATATTTTGCACGAAATCATTCCAGATGCTTAACTTCTGCCTGGGTGGTTGAAGAGCAATTAAAGCATTAAATTAGTTTTTAAGGAATAGGGTTATTCAAGTATATCATCGTTATGTATCTTCTAGGCAAGGAAAGGGAGAAATAGTTTAAATCTGACATTTATTTTACTTATGAACCTGTTTTTTTCCTTTTAGGGTGCAAGTGGGGCTGTTAATGCTATTATGTTGCTTGATATATTCCTGAATCCAAGGGCTACTCTATATTTTGATTTTATAATACCAGTTCCTGCCATTCTACTGGTAAGCATGCAATATATTTATTTTTAGCTAAGACATTGATTGAAGTTAATGAACAAATCCGTACCAAGGATAATTTTCTTTCCAGGGAATATTTCTCATTGGGAAGGATATGCTGAGGATTCTAGAGGTAAATAGGTTCACTTTTGTTCCTATCTTTTACTATAAATAGCCTTAGATAGCTCTCTATCAAGTTATTTTAAATGGAATAATGAATTTCTACCCATAGGCATGAACTTATATTTCATAGTATTCTGTGGCAACACATTTTATTACAAATAGATAATTTGAATTATTACTGTCTTGGAGCTTATAACTCGATCCACATAACATATAAGGTGGACTATGTAAGTTGCAGCTTCAACTTATCTCTTCTGAGCTTTAATAGTACATGACATATGGATTATGTCGAACAATAGAACGAATGATGTTCATCATTCATCTGTCTGATTATTATCATTGTGGCTTGCATGCAGGGTAATACTCACATTTCGGGATCAGCTCACTTCGGGGGTGTTGCAGTTGCAGCTATAGCATGGGCTCGGATTAGGCGGGGACGCTTCTGAATTCTTATTGGATTACAGAACTAATTTGAGCATATCTCAATCAATCGCTGGTTCAATTTCGCAGGTCTTTGTTACTTTTTTTTTTTGGATTATCTGATCATAACTGGTGGTGATAGGTTCATACAATTACTTTTTCTTCATTAGGTTGAACTCTCCTTGCAGCAAGCCGATAACTAACAATATAAGTACTTATCAAGAGAACAAATATGCCACTAATTCCGTGTTCTCGTCCTTAATGAAAGATAAAGAAAAACAATTAATTTGAATTCAACATGAAAACAACTTGAATTTGACTATTGTTTTTTTTTTTATTTGGAAACTTCTTATCGTATTTCAATTTTATTCTCGTTACTGTTTTATAAGATTGGAATTCAAATCAAACTCAATATTCATCTTTATTCTATAGTTAGTTGGCTGGATTAGAGAGGGAATAGAACGTCTTTTGCCAGCTTATTGTAAATCTACCTTAAATTCTTGGCTTGTTTAAGGGGACTCAATTTTAGGCATACCCTGTGAGAGCAACAGATCTGCAAAGTCTGTTTCTTAACTTTTCAATTCTGATTTTCATTTCACTCTCTGGAATTCTTTTACCAGTAAACAAAAACATAATATTCCAACACCCATCTATCTGTTCATAATGGGAATCAAATATTTGGTTTGTGATGTTTTAACATTACCTATTTTATTTAATCATGTTTTTGCTGTGATAAAAAAGAATAAAAAGATTATATTCAAATGTCTTCCACAGTTTTTACCCTCAGATGTTTTACAAAATAAAATCTGGAGCTATTGTTATATTGTGTGTTATGTTTAAAAAAGCAAGTCTGACATTTGCCATGAGCTTTTGAAAATAAAGTGTTTCCCTGCACAATAAATTTCCTATATCCTATGCAGGAAGGCTGCAGGGACTTATACTGGAGACTCTTTGATGAATGCACATTGGATTTGGGTCAATTAATTTTTTTTAAGAGCAATATATCCATCAAAATGTTCAAAGGAAAAATGCCAGCCTCTCTCTTCTCAGTTATCAATAAATTCAACTACCTACCCTCTTTGTAAATCATCACATATTTTTAGGGTTCAGTGGGAAAGTTTGTGTTTTCTTGAAGGTCTTCTTCTATAATAATTTTGTAATGAAATTTGATAAATTGATAATGTACCAATCAGTTATTAATATATACCCTTACAATCACTGGCCAGTTTGCTTTTTTCACCTATCTTTTTTTGTTCATGGTTCGATATTCTTAGTATTTTTAAATATAGAGAAGAAAGATTAGTCCATCTCCGATCTCAGTGGTTAAACTCTATCGTAATGATGTCAGGATGATAACTTCTCGTTCTTATTATTTTTTCAATATAAATAAAAAATAAAAAAGTTTTTATTATTTAAAAATTTTAATTATTAAATCTATCTCTCTCTTGTAGAAATAAATATTCTCAACTCTAAAGGTACTCGACGAGGGTGTTTTTCTTTTTCTTTTTCTTTTTTTTTTTTATAAATATAATTAATTCACAATTCACTTCCTTAATAATATTTTAATAATGAGTTGATACAGAGAAATATATAGAGAGAAGTGGATTGATGTGTTAAAAATCACAATCGCTGTTCGTATCACAAATCACTAATAAGCTTTTGGCTTGTCTCTGCACAACACACAACAAAATGACATACAAGAAGTCAAAACCTCATAATTTATTTGATCGATCAAATGAATCTGCGCCGTTGAAAATGGATTAGTTTCTCTCCTGTCTTCACCCAACTTGGCCCATAACCTATGATGGGCTCACACCCAATGACCCCACAAAGAGACCACCCTGGACCCCACTTAGTCTTTGTGGCTCCCACATCTAACCCAGCTTTTATCTGACACGTGTCCTCTCCGCCCTCTTTCAGGTTTTTTGCCTCTATAAGTATTTTTCTCTCGCTCCTATGACGCTTGATCAGGCTTCTGTTTTTCTATTATTTTTATTATTTTTTTAAAAAAATTATTTTACATATTGCGTTTTGCATGAACTCAAAATCTACTCGTAACTAGAAGAAGAATCTTTCGTCTTTTTCTTTTCATTCTGGTTTCTCTTGCGAAAATCGAAACTTTCAACCCGCAGTTTCTTACCCACTGAAAATTTTCCGAGAAAATGAGGTGGGAAAGGGTCCACCTCCACGCTCAACCGCCACTAGCTCAACAAGTTGGTTTGGGTGAGGTGTCTTCTGCTGGGCCAGGCAAGAGATGGGGACACACCTGCAACGCCATCAAAGGGGGCAGATTTCTTTACATATTCGGTGGTTATGGCAAAGATAATTGCCAAACCAACCAAGTACATGTTTTTGATACTGGTACGCCATTTTCGAAATCCTCCTTAGATTCTTGGGTTTGTCTTTATCTCTTGTTGTTTTCTCTCTGTAGACATATGTGTTACGTTTTGCGGCTCTTTTTGGTGGGTATGATCGATATCGAGAAAAAAGTTCGAATCTTTACGAATGTGATTTCGTGATTGAACTTTAATCGTTGTGTTTTTATTCTTAGGGTTTGTTGTTATGATGATTTCAAAGCATTTTATGTGGGTTTGTTGCTGGAAATTAATGTCGTGATGGGTTTATTGTTTGCATTAATCTTCGACTTAGTGGTTTAATGGGTCTTGTAAACTTGCTTAATAAGGGTTTCGTTCATTTTTTTGTTTTCTGATTCTATATTTTTAATTTGTTCCTTTTCTGTTAATCAACAAAAATTTCCATTCTCTCGGTTTATAAATATTATTTATTTATTTATTTTGTTAAGTAATGCTCTGTATTTGTTGAAAAAAAAAAAGAAACTATTTACCTAGACGGAAATAAAGATTTCAAATTTCTACTAAGATAACTGGAAGTTCCAACCAATAAGAATCCTAATGAACCTTAAAAAACAGGGATAAAGGCCCAGCAGAAATTACTTGTTTTTCGAGACCCTGCTATAAATTCTATCTATTTAGATTATTATCGCCAACTCATACATATTAGATCCAGTTGCATTTTATTGCAATTGAGAGACTAACCAAAATTTTTTTTTTTTTTGTTTCCAAAGTAACTCTCATCAACTAGCACTATTTTGACGTGAGTCTTTAGATATAATTCATAGAATTAGTTAGATCTAACATAATAACATTCTCTTCACATATCCCCTATAGATATGTTCAAATATATAGATACATTGACTTTACTTCCATACATCTCTCCGACCACGATCTATTTTTGGAAATAGCTCTAATTCATTTATCCATATATCATGTTTACACATGCATAAGAGTTTTTCTTCTTTTATATTCGGAGTAAAGGAAATGCCCTGTAATTGCAAGTTGATTGCCGCTTCTTTTTCTTTAAATAGAAGAACTCTTGATTATTTATGCTTATGCAGTTACTTACATTTTTCCTGTCTGTTTGTATGGATATGGGACGTTGTTCGTTCTCTCATTCTTGATTGCTGGTTGCAGCTACGCAGGTATGGAGCCAGCCTGTGATAAAGGGCACACCCCCTACTCCGAGGGACAGTCACAGTTGTACTACCGTTGGAGATAATCTCTATGTTTTTGGGGGAACTGATGGGACGAATCCTCTAAGGGATTTGCATATATTAGATACTTGTAAGTTATTTGACTGTTTGCCTTTTATTTGCTGTGCTAATATTCCTGGACTATTGTATGCCGGACTCCAATTGATTTGTTGTCATATCAGTGTGTGAATAATGTTTCTCTTTTATGTTCCGGGACTACCCGGGAATTGAAACTCAGTTTCATGCTTATGTTATTTTATGCATTTGCTAATTTGGTGAGCAGTAAATCATGCATTATTTTGTCTCATTATCTTGCATTCGAGACCATATTTCTTTCTTAACCATTAATAATTGCAGCTTCAAATACATGGATATCCCCTAGTGTTAGAGGCGATGGACCAGAACCACGGGAAGGTCATAGCGCTGCACTTGTTGGCAAACGACTTTTCATATTTGGTGGTTGTGGAAAGTCTCTGGGTAGTAATGACGAAGTATACTACAATGATCTTTACATATTGAATACGGGTAATTTCTATGCGCAAGGCTATTACTCATTGCTCTTATTTTGATTCAGTTTGCTGCTGAATTATGCATCAAGAATAGACTCCTTCCAGATCAGAGGAGTGGAATCGGACAGTGTTGAACCTTTTTCTTAGCTTGTTTATCTGATGAGATAGATTTGGAAAAAGTCATATTTATGGACATTCAAGTTGGCCTTATTAGGTTAATTTCGAAGCTGTCCTGATATAAGGATATTATTCACTCATATTTTGTTTCCTCTTATAGAGACTTTTGTATGGAAACGCGCTACAACAACAGGCAGTCCACCATCTGCACGTGATAGCCATACTTGCTCTTCTTGGAAGAGCAAAATCATCGTAATTGGTGGTGAAGATGGACATGATTATTATTTGTCTGATGTCCATATCCTTGATGCAGGTTTCACATTTTAACCATGTAAAAATTGATTGCATCTTGTATGGTACTGTATCAAGTGTCAATTTTATGTTCTATTCTCTAATTTTTATATTTTGCTATTCCTTTACCCATTAGATACCCTCACATGGAAGGAGCTGAATACTTCTGGACAGATGCTACCACCTCGAGCTGGTCACTCCACAGTTTCATTTGGCAAGAACTTATTTGTTTTTGGGGGGTTTACAGATGCCCAGAATTTATATGATGACCTTTATATGCTCGATGTTGGTACGTGTTTTGTTATTAGTATTATTTTTTCTAGTGTCTTTCAAATTATTTCTTTTTCTTCTCTGAGTAAAGTATACCGTCATGTTGAGTTTATCAGTTCGAACTCAGAAAGTAGAGTGCCCAAATCATGGGCAAGCATGTATTGACTTTTTAAGGCACTCATCTTACTTGCCGATTTTCAGTGGCTCCAGTCTGCATTCTCAATCAAGTTTCTATTTATTATGAAAATTTGATTGGAAAAATTGTTTATCAAATGATTGAAATTCAAGAACGTAAGTGATATTTATTATTAGTCTCCATACATGGGAACTGTGAGATATGTTGCATGCGTTTTCCATTTTCCAGAAAATTTCCTGGTGATTTTTTTTTTTGTGCCTGAAATTTTTCCTATGTTGTTGTAACCAATGCTTGTCGGTGTCTCTTGGCCTTTTTGTTTTTCTAGTGTTGTGTGATTATCTTTTGTCCTAATCAGAGTACGTGCTTGCAAGTGCTATTCACCACCGCTGTTTTCTTATGTTGTCATCTCCATCCTCCATCTCCCTATATTTGTGGTATTTGATGTAATAATGTATGGGGCTTTCTCATCATCCATTTCTTTCGTCCCGGAGTATTGGTACAGATACGGGCATATGGACCAAAATTTTGACTACTGGAGAAGGGCCTTCTGCTAGATTTTCTGTTGCTGGGGATTGTTTAGATCCTCTTAAGGGTGGCGTTCTTGTATTTGTAGGTGGTTGTAATAAGAGTCTTGAGGCTCTTGATGATATGTACTTTCTATACACAGGTTGGTACAAACAGCTTATTTTCCATGAATTAGAATCTGTAAATCTTATTGAGTCTAAATCTTATTCTAGGCTGTTCAATTTAGTCTTATTTTCTGATGCCAGGACTTGCAAGCGAAAATGCACAGGACTTACAGAAGTTGGAGAAGTTATCTCTGAGGAAACAGTTGAAGCTAAAATGCCAAGAGCAAAGTCTTTCTAGTCCGATACATGATAAAGCATTGGTTAGAATTGACCAACAAATGCCTGCATTAAGTTACGGCTTGCCAATTAGTAAGGACTATTTCACTTTGTTATCTTTCAATTTTCAAAAGTGCTTTGCCACTCTTGAGTTCCACCATTGTTTCAGTTTCTATATGATAATTTTTTAAAATGAGTTTCCTTTAGAGGTTGTTACATTTCAGGAAGTATTGAAGATAATACTTTTGGTTGAACCTTAGATATTCTATATCTCAGTTGATATGTGGCCAATTGTTTTTTGAATTTTGCTTGTTTCCCTGGGATCACATCCTACAAATGTTACCATCCTTGCATATCAATGAAGAGATATTTGTGCATTGATGCCTGCCTTGAATTTTATTTCGCTTTACATTTTGTCTGCAGAGAATATTCTAATGGATTAGTAGGTATCCCCAATGATGCAAGAAAAAATAATGTCAAGATGTGGTCTTTCTTGTTTGTCTTTCTTTCTGGTTGGCATTAAACCTTTCCTCATTCCTCTGAATCAATTTTGGAAAAGGTGCAAAAGGGAAAAACCTATAGGTGGTGTGCAGATGAGCCAAATTGAACCAAATTATTTGGTTATTCGAGCTCAGTTTCAAATTTATTGAGCTTGAGCTTGAGCTTGACTAAACTCAGTTCAAGCCACTTTTTGAGCCCAAAGCTCAGCTCAAATAACATATAGTAGGCTTGACAAATTCAAGTCTATTATTGTCTCAAAAAAAATTTAAAACATTATCTCAAAAACACATTCAAGTCTGTTGACCTCGAGCTTGAAATCTGAAGGTATTTATTTATATTATTTTAATTTTTAAAATATAATAATAATATTATGATATTAATTAATATATGTAAATGATATGATATATCATGTAATACAAAGATTCTACTTAACTTTTTAATAGTTAAACCAACATATTCATGAGATTTTGAGCTGAGAACTAAGAGCTTAAGCTCGGCCTAGTAAAACCAAGCTTGAAAACAGGGGATAATATCAAAAAACATCGTTACACTTTGTGTCTCATTATCAAATTGCACCTTACATCTTTAGCTATATCAATGTGCACTTTAAAACTATCACAACATATCCGATTGGACTTTTAGTTGATAATATGTATTAATCTGTGAAAAATGTGTGAACTAGATGAATGTTTGCCGGTGAAAAGTTGTGTGAAGGGCTAGAAATTCTTAGAGAAGGAAAGAAAGAGTATTAGAAAGTTCGTACTGTGAGTGACTTGTGGTTTTACCAACAAATGAAAATGTGAAAAATTAGAATACGGGTTAATGCATCTTGTTGAGGAATGAAATGCTTGTTCGGGGAAAAAAAAAGGAATGCACACGACAGTAGCTTCATTAGGGTCTTCAACCACCAGTTTATCTCATTCGACTTCAAAAATTGTCATAGCTCTTTACCTACCTTTCTTTTTATACTTTCAAGACTCCATCTGGACTTTTATCTTTTGGATTTTTTTCTCCTTTAAAAAAAATACTGAAACAAAAAGATATTAATAGAAATTATTGCTTGTAAGGAAGAGGAAGGGGAGGAGAAAGAAGGGAAAAAGAAGTTACATCAGCAGGGGAGAGTGGAAGGAAGAGGGAAAAAGAGAAAAAAATAAAATAAAAATAGAGTTGCTGGTAGTGTTTACGAAAAATTATTAATAGAAAGCATAATTTCTTACATATGATTATTTGACGTTTACATTGATACAATTTAAAGTATATGTTCCAAGTTGATATAAAAGCAAAAGTGCAAGACTGTTGTCAATATTATTCCTAAAAATAGACTCGATCTCAGCTTAAGTCAAACCTTCTTCACTCAAGTTTTGATCATATTGAGTCTGAACCGATGCATGCTCGCTCAGCCCAGTGCTATCTCTAACTAAATTTATCATTTCTGCAGTGCCAAACTCACCACTCAGAAAGCTCATCCAGAGAGAGAATATCTATAGGAGAACTTTAACCTGAAAAGGATAAATGTAGTCTCTATTTAGTACATGAAAACGGTTTTTTTGTTTTTACTTTCGAACTGTATCTGTATTCATTTAAAAAAAATGGAAGCTAGTTAACAATGAAGAGAAAAATACTGAAAATAATGATGAAATTCGAAAATTTTGAAATGTTGTTTTAATGTTCTAGAAAAGCTATTTCGTTTGTGTTTTAATTTATTCCATAAATATACAACTCTTTTATGCTTCCATATATAGACATGAATAAACACATTAAAGTTTAGAAAATGAAAATTAGAAGGTGTTTTCATGTACGAGATGGAGCATTACTTTCTTTCAATTGGTTGTTTGTGAGAGAAGTATGTGGTAAAGTAATCCTGATTTTGAGAAAGCACAGAATTAGGATGCTTATCTTATGCCCAAAAGATTGCCAGATGAGACTCAGGGAAGCACACAGTATCATAAAGCATTAGTTACAGTGCAGATTAGACTAAAATTGGGGATACCCAGAAGGAAATATGTCAACCAGGGAGGAATACCCAAGTCTCTCTGGTGTGAATTATATGTTCTTCTTGTGCTGCTGCACCCTTGAGCCCTTTTGATTTAGCATTAATAAAGAAAGAAATCAAAATAAATCATGAAGGTTTGTGGAAGAGTTTATGGTCTAATTTCTATGTTAATGCTTTAATTTACTGCCTAAGCTTTCCAAAGTGGAGGGCTGGAGGGCAGTAGAATGGCTTTTGATGGGTTTATTCCCCTTGAAAGATTTGTTTTTGCACACCATTTTCTTTGTGTTCAAGAGTTACCCCCTCTCTTAGAAAATCTTGGGCTTGATTGACATTTCGACTAACCTGCAACCCATTCTTTTATGCACAGGTTATTAGTATACTTCTTTCCGTTGGAAAAAGATGCTTTCCAGAGTGCATTTGCTTTATTGAAGTTTTGTTAATTATCAACTTTGCATCATGTTAGAGCATAGCCTCAATTTATATTTGTTGTTGATGTTGTTGCTATTGTTATTCCAAGAACTAGGGGAGCATTGGCATTGTTAGTAGGTTTGCATTTGTGCAGGGATTAGCAGATCACTCAAATTTCTAGTACTTTCTATGTAGGAAGAGAGAATTTCCCATTAAATCAACCCCAGGTTCAAGGAAAGAAACCATTTCAAGCAAAGGTTACTGAAACCCTTCCATATGGATATACTATTGAGACAATCATAGATGGGAAGCCTCTTCGTGGAATATTGTTTGCCAACATGCCAAGCGCTTTCCCTGCAACTAATCACAATTCTAGTAGGTGAGGTTAATGTCTTTTTGGCTTATGTTTTTGTTTGGCAGTTTTACTCAATGACCATTTCTTAAAATAGGTTTAATTTATTCTTCGGTTACATTATATCAGGAAAAGGGCTCCTGGGGAGACAGGCATCATGTTCAATGGGTATTGCAATAGAAATTCGAAAACTTCTAAAATTGTCAGGGAGAACTCTGCAGATCATTACCAAGCAGCAGATATTTGCATTATATCTGATGACATCATCCCTCAGGCCAATAAGGTCATACCTTGCTTCATGTTTGCATTATAGATGAGCTTCCTCCCTAGGCAGTACCTGAAATTTGCTTAAAAGAGAGCATATAACATGGTTAATGCCATGGTATAGCTTAATGTCTCGTTGTAAACAGCAAGAGACTTGGCCAAAAGTCTGCTTAATTAGGTTAATCTGCAGTGATGACATATGCTTTTGGCTAATACGCAGACCAGAAGTGATGTACCAGTCGAGGTCACTCAGTATAAACCACTTACAGATGAGCTGGTTTCATGTCTCATCTTGGTGTCTGTCAATGATATTCCCTTCTTTTCTGAAAAAGTAAAAATAATAATAAATCTTTTTGTGAGTAACTCTTTTTTGCAGCTATTGAATGATTGCGTTAACTAGTTTCTGTTGTCCAAAATGTCATCCCCCTCCCCTGGGTCATTTTACAATGTTCTGTTTATTTAATTCTTAGAGTGTTTGGTTTGATGCAGGAACCTGCAAACGATGAGGCATTTTTGGCTCCTCTGAACTTGAACGATGATAGACCAGATGAAGCTCCAGAATCTCGCTTTGAAGTTTCAGCTGATGTTATTTCAGCTATTGTCAATTTGACGCCAAACCAAGGTACGAACATAAGAAGCATTAAAAAGTATAAACCGTGCCATTACCTGGAAGACACTAAGATGAAAGGATAATTATGAGGAATATATAGCTTATTTAGAAAATATTTATTAGTTTTTATAAGCTCAAGAATTATTTAGGAAATCTATCTAGTTTTTACATTCTTGCTTATTCTCTTATTGTGAAATCACATTATGCTAGGTACTTTTCTTATTTTGGTATGGTTGGTGCCCAACTGCCCGTAAAAGATAGTTCCCTAGTATGTTATTCACCTGCCTAGTATGTTTACTATTGAATGTTAATGAGAAACTAAATTGATTATTGAGATGTACGATCTCTCTTTCTTGTTTTTGTTCTTTAATTTATCCTTTTCCTTTTACCTTCACTCTATCCTATATCTGGTAGTTTCAAAAGGTAAAATATGATCAATTTATCATGCTACTAGTTATAGTTTCATGTCCTTTGGATTTAGTAAGAATTTTGTAATGTTAGTCTCTAAAGAATGCCCAAAACTGTCAACTTTATTGGAACAGTCAATGGCTTAACCGCCAGTGTCTAATCAGGAAATGCCTCACCTTTGACTGGACATAACACATGCCAATACTAGCAAAACCTTTGTAATTCAATCACTTATTTGGAACCACAATTGGCAAAGATATCATTTTTCAAGAACCCGTCTCCTTATGGTGATCAGAGGCTAGAGCATGAGAAACTCCCTAATAACTTGGAAAGGCTATTTGACAAGCTAAAGACATAGTTTCAAGTCAAGCTCACCCATTTTAATCAAAATTGAGCCAGATTCAGGCTGATCCAATTTAGACTAATCTAAGCCAATTCCAATTCGATGTCTGATTTTCTTATTTCTCTTTAGGAAATTTTATTTTTGAATTTTGGATATCAAAAAAGAGATGTGAAGCTGATTTTTGAATGGCCCCATGTTTCTCATTTACCATGGGTTGACTGTCCTGCTACGCACCATGTTTTTTAAATTATCAAGTAGTTGGAGGCCCCTTAAGAATGTTTTACATAGAAATGAAGCCCAGAGCAAATTATCATGAAGAAGTTTAACAAAAATATTTAAGAAGTACAAACAAGGAACTTTAGGAGATAATACTGAGGAATGAGGATCCTACAGATCAAAACACAAGCATAAAGAGTTGTTTGAAAAATCTAAGATAGTATTGAAAATTCAATGCCTCAGGGCAAGCAAACATATTAATTCCGAAGTAAAGAATCACACGTCTAGTGAACTCAAACTGCCAGCAAATGAAGCACAATTCCAGGAGATATCTGTATGTTGATGATAAGTTTTTTGCAAGGATTATATACAAAAAAAGGGGTGACAAACATCATTTTAGCCAAATTTATCTCAGCATCAAATGTTGATAGCTGAAGTGTGCAAACTCTTACTCATGTTGCTTTTGTCTTGCATATTTCAGTTGTGCTCCTTAAAATCCACATTTTTGGTACCATTTTGGTTTTCTCTAGAAAATCACATATTTAGCTAGCTTCAAATATTCCATGTTCAACCTCTGTGTTTCAAGCTTTCACCAGATAGGAGAACAATACAAAATAGGAAAACAATAAATTAAAGGATTGCAATGTTAAGACATATTATCAAAGCCCTAATGTAATTGAAATCTTCCATGTTCAACCGTGTGTTCCAAGCTTTCACCAGATAGGAGAACAATACAAAATAGGAAAACAATAAATTAAAGGATTGTAATGTTAAGAAATATTCCTATGCTTAGACCCCGACTTAGCTAGATTTGTAAAATATGCAATCATGAGGAGAGCACTCGTTGTGCAGTGGTTTTATTACCTAGATGCATTCAGCAATTATCTGTTACAATTGGCTACCCAACGTTTACTGTAAGCACAAAAACTAGTACATGTATGTGCATCGTTCTCATTTCTTTTGGAAAAATCCTCTTAATGGTCTAATTTCACCATACTAAGTCTCCACTGAACTATCTAGAAAAATTTTGAACTCAAATTAGTTACCTCTTTAATGGGCTAATAACCCAACCTTTGGAGAAGTCTACAACCCCAAGGGACAAAAAGTTGACACAGATGTGTGTCAAACCTTCCCCATGAATGCAAGCTCTTGGGAAAGATCAGCCTATTATCCTAGAGTAATTTTTATGCATTGGCCGATGGCCTTTCCACTTCTAGAGAAATGTTTCCACTTGCCAATTAATGCTAAAGTACATTGTTGCCATGCTAACTAAAGGAGCTGCCTAGGCATACTTCTTCAGATCGAAAGTACAATTTTCTCTTTAAATCTTCTCTCTGTATGATCTTCTGCAAAATGCACAGGTGCATAAGAGTGGCAAAGCACTTGTAAGTTGGTAGTACCATTTTGTTGTGGTTCTTCTCCACCCTTCTTACAGGGTATTTTATCAATTTTCTTCTTATTTTTGTTTTTCAACTGATATTTTGATATAGAGAGATCATATTTCTTCACTGTTGATTTTTGTGTTTGTTTCTGGGGGAAAGTTTTAAACAATTAGTTATTGACATTCCATTATTCTCAGTTGGCTTTTGATGATTTATCAGCTGCCTTGCTCAAGAAAGCTCGATGAACCGAAGTAACATCCATTTGTGTTTTTGGATGGAGTAGAAAAGGGATATAAAAAGCTCCTTTTTTTTTTCTCTTCATCTCTGCAATGGGAAAATCCCTATGAGAAAAGGAACTGCTTTTCTGAACTTAGCAATGTGATTGTTAAGATTTTTAGTTGCATAAATGCTTTATATATTTTTAGGAATTTCTAGCTTATTTAGGTATTTTTTAGTAGTTAAGGTGATCTAAGAATTATTAAATTTATTTCTTTTTGTCTTCTAGCTTAGTTTCCTATTATGAAATCTTAGTCTATTTGGTATTTTCTTTTGCAATTTTGGTTGTTTGGTTGGTGCCTATATAAAGGGGAACCCAAAATGAGAGAAACCAACCATCTCAAACCAGAACTCTACCGTCCAACAGATGGATTGCTTTGCATGCGAGCGTATCATTTCAGGCTTTGGACTAGATCATGTAATAGTTTGTTTATCCCAACTATTTATGTCACTCTTCCGACCCGTTTGCTAAAGGGAATGTCTAATGAGAAGTAAGAACTGTCCTGTCAATGGACTTGTCTAAATGCTATAAGGCTCAGAGGAAATCCAGCTTCCCTTCCTAGGAGATATGATTTTTTTACCATCTCTTTTCCTATGGATTTTTCTTTATGGTATTTATACAGTCTCTAGTTTTAAAGCATTCATGTAGAAGACTGATTGATTTCTTGCTTTAACATATTGGCAGATGAGAGAATAGCAGGCAGTGAACAGCACAACGATCCAGCAAAATCAATATGATTGGTAAACAAACTTGACTGTTCAGGATGACTTCGAAACATTACAATCCACAAGCCATTTGTACATTTGCCGTATCAAAGTGGTTATAGATGCATTTACCCAGTCTAACTATTTTGTTTCTTGATTTCGTTTTCCTTTCCTCCATCGGCCACTAGTTGTCCATTCCGGGAGCATGATTGACATAGTTGTGTGCAGTAGTTATGTTAGAAGTGATATTACGTTTTCAGATTGAGGTGCTTCGTAGAATGAGGGGGGAAAGATTTTGCTTATTGGCAAGTTCCATGGATCATATTAGCATATATACTATATGTTTCATATGTAGCAAAAGACTCGGTAGCTTTACAGAAAGATGCATCATTATGGTCTTCTATCAGATTTTAGGACGGTATATGCTCATTTTACCCATCATGACATGCAAATTCCATCCATGGAAAGTGGATTGTAAAAGAATTTTGATGGTTTTGAGGCTCGTAACTCTTTTGATGTATGTCATCTTCTGCTCGAGGGAAAGAAAGGAAATTAGCTTACTTCTCTCATTTTTCTCCCTTTTTTTATACACCATGTTTTTTTATTATGACTCCCGATGACTGGTAAAGAATTAGAGGAATTAAATCGGAAAAAGAACTAAATGTTGGGATAGAGTGTGTTTGAAATAAATAATTTATTTTTTATACTCTTTTAAAAATTATATTTTATATGAAACTTTTATCAATTTGTTTAATTTATATATTCATAAATTGTTCAACAATTCAGATTTTAGAAGAAAAATTACAAGTACAGTTATAGTTTTTCAAACATCAAACACTAAGCCTATGTCAAGGGGGGTACGTTCTGATTACCAATATGTTAATTATATTGTATGAATCGGTGGTAATTGATGTATATGTTTGATTCGATGATATTAAAAAAAAAAACAATTGAAATAGTTACAATATATTTAAATTTAATATAATTAATTTTGTCAGTGGTGAATTTTCTTTGATTAGAGTAGTCAAAAATATGAATTTTCTATCAGATTTTAAAACTGTGGCGACATCTTTTTGAGTCCAGTTAATCAACCACCAAAATATAATGTTTTTCTTTCTCCTTTTTTGAAAAAAGAAAATTATTAAGAATCAAAATGATCTTTTTCTTTGTCAAAATCTAAGTCAACCCCACGAAAACAAAGCTCCTTTCAAAAACAATTTTTTTAAAAAAAATATATATATAAATATAAATATATTTTTAATAAAAATTCATTAGATAGAAAAAACCTACAATTTTTGTTTAAATAAAGAAAGTACAAACTATTCAATCTCTAAATGATTTTTCTTTAAATAGACCACATAGGAGCAATAGATCTGAAGAAATATGCAAGGCGTAGTAGTAACTCATAAGACACTTCACATTAAAGAGTTGTTAGGTTCCAACAATATGCAGCTGCTGAGTCTGGCCACAAGGATCCATTATACAAATAGCTTGATAATATCAGACATTAGTTGAGGATTCAAAGCCTAGATGTCCACCCACCATATCCCACATATTACTCAAATACAAATTCCTTCATCCTTAACGTATTAAGAAATCGCCGCTTACAAATCTCAAAAGTTTAATGGCTTCACTTCCCGCCACCACTGAACAGGTAATCCAGGGAAGATCCACCTCCAGGAGCTGCATGAACCTTTGTTGAAGGACGATCCTGTACAATCAATAGGGACTCATCATCATTGAAAAAAGGAACAACATAAAAAATTTGAATGCAAATTCCTATTCAGGGCCTGCATTTCTGAATAGAATGCACCATGTATGGAATAAATCATTTTCCATCTAATCAAGAGTGCCCAGATCACTTCATTCCCACAACCAGTTGATCGGAAAAGAATTTAAAATTCCAAATTAAAATAAAGCCCCAATGCAATTTGAAGAATTCTAGTTGCCCAGAACTCTACTCTCAGCTAAATCCTATAAATAGGTGCTCAGCTGATTCACAACATTAATTGAAACTAAAGAAAACGACCATTGCTTTATGGGAACACTACATAAAAGCTGTTATCATTATTTTTCCTGTGTTTTTTATGAAAAGAAAAAATATTATTTGGGGTGGGGGAGGGGAGAGGGGGAGATATATATATATATATATACAGTCGTCCCACAGTATAGAAAATAGAAAACCACAAAATAATCTAACTTGGAACAGGTTCTCTATAGAAACTTCACTTGACAAATAGTTGTCCAGTCCCTTCGAATATTAACTAAAGAATTTCTTCCGAACAGCCTTACTGAAGAGCAAATTCAGAAGTAGCAACCTTTCCTATAACAACAAGAGAGGTTGATGCCAACTCTTAAAGACTACATTTATCTCCACTAACAAAAACCCATAAACTAGTCTCTAACATCTTTTGCTTCTTATTCAACACCCACACAGAGAAGAGGTGATAGAAACTTCAGATTAAGTGGGACAGAACCCATCTCACACAAAAAACCAAAGGGCTGCGGACTTAGCATCCAAGCCAAGTTGCAATGAAGCAGATTGGCACGGAACTCAAGCTTCTTAAAGTGCATAGTAGAACTGCTGCCCTAAAGCAGATAATTGGTGTTAACTGCTCAAAAAATACCAGTCCGTATGAACATCTTAACCTTAGGAGAGCTTTTACCTCCCAAAAAGGCATAGATGCCATATTTTCACTAGTGGGATGATGGGTAAAGTATCCAAAAGAAAGACTCGCAAGTGCAGAAACTGGATCGTAGGAAGAGCCATAATGCAAGGATGTACCTATTAATCTCATGAGTTCTTTCTAAACTAGACTGGTGAAAATTTTGTCAGGACTGAATACCATCACCTTGGGAATACCATGGAGTTTATGGATGTTGTTAATGTATAGTTGGGCTATCTTCACGGCTGTAAAAGGATGCATAGGTGTTATAAAGTGACCATATTTAGTAAGTCGATCAACTACCACCATAACTGTGTCTTTATTCCCTAACTTTGGAAGCTGCTCAATGAAGTCCATGGAGATGTGCAACCATGCCTGGTTTGGGAAATGGAATAGTTGTAATAGCACAGATAGTGACATTCTTTCGAACTTACACCTTTGGCAAACTTGACATTTTTGCACCTAGTACACCACATTTTATTTCATGCTCGGTCAGAAAAAAATATCGCTTGAGGCATTCATAAATGCCTCGGATTCCTTAGTGGCCTCCTACTGCAGTATCAATGCATCCTTGTATTAGTTTATTCCTTAATTCTCCTAACACCCTGGCCTTGAGTTAGCAGTGTGGTTTGCCATCTGTTTTGACTAACAGTTTTGTTGTTAGTCCTTCAGTGAATAAACCTCCTTAATAGCTGGTCAATACTTCTGAAATCCAGGATGGAGTAATGATGGTAACAGCTGTTACAGTAGCCTCTCATTCTTACTTCTTATAGTTGTCAATTTCTCTTCTAGAAAGTGCATCAGCCACCTTGTTTTCCACACCCTTTCTATATTGAATGGAGTAATTCGATCCTAGCATTTTGACAATACTTCTCTGTTGAAGCATGGAAGTTACTCTTTTCTCCAGCAAATGCTTGATACCTTTTTGATCTGTCATTATGAGGAAGGAAGCACCCTCCAAGTAGTGTCTCCATTTACTTACTGCATATATATGGCCAACAGCGCCTTCTCATAAATTGACAACGCTTGATTCCTTTTGTGTAGCCATTTGCTAATACAAGCAACAGGTTGGTTTTCTTGCATAACGACACATCCACCCCACTCCACAAGTGTCTGCCTCAAGAATAAATTGTTTGGAGAATCAGGTAACCGCAGCACTAGTGCCTTGGTTATTGCTTCCTTCAGCATCTCAAAAGCATTCTTTGCTCCTTCCGTCCGTTTGACTCCATCTTTCTTTAGCATATCTGTCAAGGGCTTGTAACTATGCATAATTGCGAACAATCTTCGACTTTCTTTAGCATATCTGTCAAGGGCTTGTAACTATGCATAATTGCGAACAAACCTCCTATAATAACCTGTGAGCCCCAGGAACCCCCGAAGACAATTTACGGTAGTTGGAAGAGGCCAGACCAGCATTGCTTCTAATTTTTTAGGGTTGGTCTTAACCCCTTGTTTAGAGATGATATGCCATAAGTGTTCAATTTTTTTTTTTTAGTGAAACAACACTTGAACTGTTTGGCAAACAGTTTATGCTACCTAAGTAGGGTGAACACCAATTCCAGGTGGTCTTGTGCTGGTCCAGTGAAGACCTTATACCAGAATGTCATTAAAGAAAACCAGAACAAATTCCCTCAAATAAACTTCAAATATATGGTTCATGACAAACAGAAATGTAGCGGGTGCATTGGTCAAACCAAATGGCTCTGAACTCATAATGCCCATGATGAGTTCAAAATGTTGTTTCATAGATATCTTTTCCTCATTCATTATTATTTGGTGGTATCCCGATCTGAAACCAATCTTTGAGAATATTTTTGTGCCATGTAATTCATCTAATAAATCAATGACGTGGATTGGGAGTTTATCCTTGATTATGATCTTGCTGAGCTCCCTATAACTCACACAGAATCTCCAAATTTCATCCTTCTTTTTGATTAAGAAGACTGGGGATGCAAATGAAGAATGCTCAGTTAGATGATTGAGGCATCCAACATTTTTTTAACCTGCTGTCCAATTTCCTTTTTCTGGAAATGTGGATAATGGTAGGGCCTCAGCTTAATTGGAGAAC